AGAAGATAACTCTTATTAACGAGAGTTAAAAATGTAAGTTAATAGGATGTGTGCAGGTGGAGGGAGACAGAAGATATATACAAACTGTGATACTCAATTATTGATTATTGAAACAGTTGCCGCAAATAACAAAGATGGAATGCAAACAAGCATTGAAATCCAGTATTTTTGGTTAGGTTCAGAAGGGCTTTCCGCTTGACTGACCAAATTATTTTGTTGTGGATCGACGTAATGGTATCAAATCAGAATCAAAAGGCACTATCTTTCTATCTCAAAATTGTATACATACACACTCTTATATATGATAATATAAATGGTGCAGCTTTTTTAGTACTACCAGTCTACCACCACAACGGATTTGCATATCTTATATCTATAGTTTTAAATTTATGTAATCTCCTGTATATAGATTTTGAAGGTCCGGCTAGGGACTGAGTATTAATTCTAGTCTACTGATAACGAGACTTAACTTTTTCAGATATTCAGTATCGTTTTTGTTCGGATATAATGAATTAATGATCCGATTCCCTTCCCTACCCACCACCAGTCATTTGCTTTTCAGTTTATAATTTCTCCTTTTGCAGAAGTTTGTCTGTGTTTCATGATGATGGCCGCCAAAACACAATCATATATCCTATCATTGGACTTTGGGTTTTGTATTGCCATTTCCATGCCACATTATCATCATCATCTTGTTCTTGTCAGTTGTGACTTCCATAATCCAAGGTTTAATTATCATATCTTTATGCTAATTGCTAAAGACACTTTTATTAGCAGTTGTAATTTTACAACATGAATCACGTGAATGGAGTCTCATCCTAATCAATCTTTTATCTTTCTTATGTATACTGTGTCTCCCGATGAAACTTAAAAGTGAATGGAACAGGATTATGTTAGGAACAAGAATCATTGAACTTGGTTTGAAGAAGTAGAATAATTACTAAAATGGTGGAGACTGAGACTAGTTTGGAAGGACTTGTGTTGCATATTATTCTGTAGGAGAATAATTTGCTTTTCCAGTCATAATCACAATGTAAAGTTGTCCAACAGTTCATTCATGTCCTTTTTCTGCTTCAGTAAAAGAAACCAACCAAATGAATGAACAGCTAAGTAGACGTAGAAAAAGACAAACCCTTTGTGGACTACAATTCATACTCATCCCCTCAATATCAAATATTCATGCTCCAATATTTTCCTTTTACAGAAGATTAAAGCTGCTTTCAATATCACATTTCACATCACATCCCACCTTTACAAACTACTTTTTTTTTTTTTTTTTTTTTAATTAATTTACTAAAGAATTATTTAGAAAAACACCAATCAAACATCAAATTCTGATATATATTCTCGATGCATTTCATGCATGGAATATGAAAAACACCCACCAACCCCAAAATTAATTAGCATTAATAATTGAATTGGAATAGGGATAAGGATAGTGATGTGGTTGCAGAAAACTATATATGAAATGCACGCATTACGAAGGTATCTAGCTACAGAAAAATTAGATATGAATCACTTTTAAGCTGGCATGTTGTAGTACTTTAGATCACGATTCCTTTACTTTCACATTATAAGTTTCTCCTTTTTCTCCCCCATATTATCACATGAACCAACTCACTGTTTCTTCATCAAACCAACCATTCAATCTACTTACTTTACCCAGTATTGATCACGTTAATTTCTTCTTGTAAACACATCTTAAAGCTTTGTTCCAAAGTAATTTTTTCTTATTTTTGTAAAGTTGTCTTTTTGTTCTCTTTCTTAATATTTCGGTCAATAATTGTGATTATGATGAGTATTATTGATGGGCAATCTTCTGAAATCTGTCACTTTGAATTGACATTAATTCTATTATTGTTTCCCATTTGTGGATTAGAGCTTTTATAATGTTACATTATTCAACTGTACATTATATATAGATAGATAGAGAGAGAGAGAGAGAGAGAGAGAGAGAGAGAATTAAATTCCAATGGTTCAATCTTTTTCTAATTGCATTTGAAGGTTTTATATGAAGTATATTGAACACAGCTTTAAAGTAAAAGGAGATGGCGGAGCCCCCCCACCTAGCCTTGCCTCCCAAATTTTATTACATGAAAAGAAAAGTCGGTAAATGGTGCTTCTTCACTTCAGCTTCAACCTACACTATAAATTTTCATATAGCATCCGTTCTTTTGCAGCTTTTTATATTACAGTTCGATTATACTATCTAGAGAAATTAAAAATAAAGATGTGCTTTGTATATAGTTTTAACGTCAAGTTTGGAGACAGATAAAACAAGTTTGATCAATTTAAACGATATGAAATGACTGGGTTTATTTATAAATTATCTCGAACAATTTCATAAACCCCCCACTAAGATTTGCTCAAATACAGTCGGATCAGAAATTTTACTGTTTGACAGCAGAGTGCAGACAGACGACAAACCACCCTTCAATCTATAACTTAATTTTAGTAAGTGTTGTTTTTAAAAAGAAAGAAAATAATAAAGATATCCAATGACAAACCATATAGAGTGATTTGTGATTAAAAAAGAAAAAACTTTAGTCTGAAATTTGAGAAATTAAGGTATCTAAATCCACTTCATCAGAGGTAAGTCGAAGAAGTTGAGAATTACATTGTCAATACAATGGTGAAACAAAATTTTCTTTGTAGGCTTATAGTGTCAATGATTTTTGTTATTTAAGGCCCTATGAATCTGTCTATCAGCCCCTTTAGTCGCAAAATTGGTTAGAGAGAAAATGTTTGCTACAATTCTCATGTTCATTGCACTTTTATTTATTCTCTTTGGGCTTTTCCTCACCCTAATGGTAGTGGATTCCTTCCTGGGCCTGGACCCATTTTACCCGGCCCTTGTTCCTTAGATGAAAGTACAAGTGTATAGTATTGAGATTGTTTGGTTGGATGCTTATCTCCATGTTTTTCAATATTTCCTTAACTTTTGAAGCAGGAAGGAGAAGGAGATTGTAGTTGAGATGTTGTAGTCTTGTTCCATGAAATACAACTGTTCTCATCCATAAAAATCAACAACTAAAACAATATGACATATTAGTCAAGTTTAGGTTATGGGAAACCTGCTGTAATTTCAAAATGAATGCGATGTTTGAAGATGATAAATTACCTCATCTTTACTCTTTACTTTGTTAGAGATGCAGCTGGATTCCACTGGTAAATCTTCATTTGACGAAACATCATTTTCTATTTAGCTAAGGATGGACCAACAGTGGTTTGAATTTGAGCTTTCCAACAGTAGTGTACAGAGGTGCATGATGACGATGATCTCTGCCTGCCTGGTGGTAATTGTAGATTCATAGACGACAAAATCATATCTTACTTAATTCAACTACCACTGACCCTACTTCCCCCACGTGTGTTGCAAAATATAGTAATTCCATCATATTCAAACAAGTTAATTGAGACGTGATAATTATAACCAAATCAACCTCCCCCCTCCGACAATCAGATTCTAAAGTCATCACTCAACCACCTTTTTCTTTTCGGTTGTTACTTTCTTAACGTTACCTTTCCACTTGTTTCACTAGAAATTCATAAAATTAACAATACACTTGTCAAATTCTGATTTGGGTTAATCAATGGGATGGTACTGGACCAAACCAGCTTGACAGCAAACCCAATGTTCGAATGTGGGTGGCACCCATGTACTGCCACGTGCGTGTTATATGGTCCAACTGTCTCGTGGCCTTGCCTCTACATCACGTGACATGGGAGTGATGCCTCTCCATATCTTGTTCAACCTGCCACTGACATGGACAGTTTGTTCTGTGTCAAGGGGGGCAACGTTGCTAGATTCTTTTGTTTAAAAAATCATCCTCTAATTACATTGTATCTTATAATTAATTAATTAATTAATTAAAGACCAAAAACAAGGCACATAGACATAGTGACATGGGTTTTTTTGTTAATTTTTTTAATTAGTATCTTCTTTATTATGGATAAGACAGAGGGACATATTTTGCTGTTTGGTTTCGTTGTCTAGGCTAATATTTCATCTCTCTGTCTCAAAACTAAAACAAGACAAAAAGGAACCCAAAAAAAGTGACTAAAGAAATTGGGTATTCCTGGCGTTCGAGGATACCTTTGTTTTTATAAGCCTAAGCCTAAGCTCGTGTCTTTTCATCACTATAAATGTGGATGTACAGTAGTCCATGTTATAACAAGTAATTTAATATTGTATTATTTTAATTGGCAGTAGAGAGATTCGACTAAAAGGAAACGTAATGGTTATGCAAATGTCATAAAAGATCCGAACCCAGACGTGTCTATGACTTCAAATTCAAAAGATATTCAAGTGGCTGTGGGCTGTGGTGGACCCACATACCCCATTAGTTTGACTATCAATTCTCTAACCTAACCCCTTTAAATATGCTTTTAATCTCTACTGGTCCACTCAACAAGAGGTTAATCACATTGACGCCAATGTTGGGAACGTGTAATCCACAACAGTGACTGGTTTTTAACTTTTAATCTAAGTGACTTTCACTTTATTCCTGTCCAGGTAAAAATTTTGAAACATAAGATTTTCGACTATGTACCATATCTAATCTTTATTGAGTTATTTGTGTAGGTTACTTTTGAAACCAGAAATTCGTAAGATTTTTTACTTCATGAATGTCAGTGAAAATTGACAAGAGTTAAAGAAAAACTTCCTGCTTTGATGCGCGTGGATAGGTTTGTGTTGGAAACAGAAAACAATGAGGGGTAAATGGGTCGGCCAAAAGTGAGGCAATAACACGGACCACCTTACCATCATGTTAACTCTTGCCTGCAACCTGTCTCCTTACCCGCCCACCCCGCCCCTCTTCTTTCTCTACGTCTTGTCTCTCTCTCTCTCTCTCTCTCTATTTTCACAACACGCCCACAAACACTTCTACTTAATACTCTCTATTTAACAACAAACCCGCATCACTTGAACCCCAAAACTCTATTCCTCCCTCTCTCTCACAAGACGACTTCTTCGACTTTCCTTTAATTTATTGTTTGATTGTTGTTTGGATATATGATACACATGGAGCTTCAGTTGGGTCTCGCTCTTCCAAGCACTGCTGTCAAGGGTTTCGACCTTAATGCTTATGTTTACGAGCCTAGGGAGAATATGGGCTCTCACCCATCATTCCATAGCTTTGGTTTTACTAATGATATTTGCAGCAACTACAAGAAACGCAGCTTTGATGAGGCTTTTGAAAAGGACAAAACGGTGCCACGAACACTGCCTCTATTGCACTGGAACAACGAGCCCAACGACGAAGACGACCCCAAAGACCTCGAAAACAGTTCTTCTTTTGACAGCAACAAGTATATCCTCTCTCTCTCTCTCTCTAAATCTTTAGTCATCTATTTGCACGTCTTTCTCTTCTTTGGTGCAAAGAGCGATTCTCATTTAATCATGTAGAATCTCTCCCTCAGAAGGCTTGGAAATTAACAATAGTTTAATAATTTTATTTATCAGGACGGCTGAGGAAGATGGTGTAGTGGGGTGGCCACCCATTAAGACCTGGAGAAAGAAAATATGGCACCAAGATCAGGGACGCCAAGCCAAGCCCAAGAACAATCAGGCTTTGAAAAATATTGGCTTTGGCAGTCGCAGTGCACAATCGAAGTCTAACTCCATGTATGTGAAGGTGAAGATGGAGGGAATGGCTATAGCTAGGAAAATTGACCTAAGCCTGCACGATTCTTTTGAAACGCTCACTACCACCTTGATCAGCATGTTCTGCGTCTGTAAGTAGCTATGCTAAATTCTCTATTCCTTCATTTCTTTAATATGTTCAAACTTAATTAATTTGGTGAAAGATAAATTATATAACAAGTTCTATATTTTTTGGCTATCTGATAACAGGGCATGACGATTCCAACAATTATAAACTCACATATCAAGATAAGGAAGGAGATTGGCTGATTGCTCAAGATGTACCTTGGAGGTATGTTAACAGTTAATTTACGAGCCACTTTCTTTATTTCAACTGAATCGTTTGCGGTAATTAATTTCTAACTCAATTTATGGCGTGTTGTTGTTTTACAGAACTTTCATTCGCACAGTGCAACGCCTCAAGTTGTTGAAGATCAGCGAGTGATTGGAAATTGATTTGTGGATCTTCAAACTAAAGACTGGTCATGCAGGAGCTACGTACTTTATTTGAATCTTCAATAGACCCATCTGGGTTATTTTGTCTGAGATTTAAATGACTGTATGTAATTTGTAGTTTATGTAGATCCTAATTATTAGCTCTTTAGTCTGTAACTTTTGGATTATCTTTTACCTTGATGAAGAAAAACATGACTTTCATAACAGAATTTGCTTTGATCGATCCCTGGTTTGTGTTGTTCTGTTGTTCAATCATTTTCATTCTTAACAGTAGTTTAGAAAATTGTTGAGATTAAACGGATGATAAGATTGAGGATTGAGAAGCAGTGGCAGGATTGTCTGACTACTTGCTGAGTTGCTGTTTTGCCGAGTTCGTGTTTCCGAAGCATGTACCAGAACTCCAGAAGGCAATTAAAAGGTACCCTTCTCACTGGGCTTGACTGTAACCTAAAAATCATAGGATCTTGTTGTTGGGCCTTCAGCATTTCTAGTACGCTGCTGGATCTCTGTTCCCCTACCCCTAGCCTACTCTCATGCTTTAACCTTTACTCTAATACATTGGGGTTCTGACTTTTAGCCCCTAATTTTGTTTTACAATAATACTAACCTCTCTCACCAACTTCCCTCACTAACCTCATCTGAGAGTTTATGATTGGCTTGGTTATACGAGACCCATTATTAGATAGACGAGACCCATATAAACTGACAAATTATGAGTTAACATGTGACATTAGTGAGAGAAAGTTAGTAAGAAGTGTTAATGATTGTAGTGTTATTCTTTGTTTTAATATCGTTTTTTTTTTTTTTTTTTTATTGAGAAGTGATTTTTAATCGCCACCAAATTGATTATCATCTCCGTTTTTTATTTATTTTGATAGTTTAAACCTTTATAAAAAATAATTTGTTTTATATTTTTGTTTTAATTTTTAACCAATAATTCTTATATAAACCGTAACTCTAAATCTTTTAAATCATTGAAACATTTTTCTTTTTCGTTAAATATTTAATTTTCAATTTGTTTGTTGAAAATATGTCAAATTTGAAATTAAGGAAAAAAAAAGGGTACAGTATAAACAAAAAAAGAGAAAACTAATTAAAAAATTGAGGAAAAGGTGATGTAACAGAAACCTTGGTTAAGTTTAAAATTAGGGAAAAGTCTTGTAAACAAACCCTGATTAAGTTTAAAATTGGAGAAAAGTCTTGTAAAAAAAAAACTCCAATTTAGTTTTAAATTAGGAAAAGACGTACAAACAAAACCTCTAAATAAACCTAATTAAGCATAGCTATATTTGGAATCAAATTGGGTTTAAAGAGATTTTTTAAAAATATAATAAAGGTATATTTAGTAATGGAAGATACTTATCAATCTGATGAAGGCTAAAAATCGCATTCCTTTTTTGTTTTTACTTTTAGTTTTAACAACTTTAAACTTAAATAAAATCACCTTTTTTTTTCCTTCTAGTTTTAACAACTTTAAACTAAAAAAAAAAAAGGCACCATGAAGGGATCCGGTACTCTCCGTCTTTTAAATGGACTATATATTTTTGACAAGTTTTAATTGGTCACCCTATAGTTAAATACATCGATTTTAATTCTTTACTTAGATGAAGATGCTCTATGTTTAAAGCTAGAAAAAGAGTTTTTATGTTTGAATTTCAAATTAAAATTAATGAATTTATTATTTTATTCAAATGTATTTATTAATTTTTTAAGAGATTAAATTTTTAATTTTTAAACAAATTTTATTCTCATCTTATTTCCATATGTAAAACTTAATCATTGGATTGAATTATAAAACTGTTAATACAGAATTTTGCACCAACTAGAGTGATCAGATCAACCTTGCCGGGATTGGAACCGATGCGTGCATGATTAGTGAAAATCAACAATGAATATGAACGAAATGAATTAAAAACAAAGAGATTTTTAAAGTGGTTCGACGAGATTAACAGCCTACATCCACCGAGTTTTTTGTATTTTCGGTGAGAGCTTACAATGCAATTCTTATCTCAAAAAATCCCCATTCCTCATCGTTCGAGGGGGTTTTTATACAACATTTGTACAGAGAAAAAAGCAAAAGTTAGGGGATTACAATTGATCTTAATCGTAATTCGATACCCTAGCGATTTGGTGTTGCGATTGCGCAATGATTACTGTTGATTAAGTCATTCCCGTAATATCTGGGATCAGAAATAATCTGGATGTTGATTGAATGATTCCTTGAATTGTCCATGACTAGCTTATGCTGGGTTGAGCTACGGCTCGACGAGCTTATGCTAGGTCGATCAATCATTGTTGCCGAGCTCATTCTGGATCGAGCTATATCCTCGCGTTGGCCCGAGCTTGGCGGAAAAGCCACATACAACATCTGCCCCCTAGTGTTCGATGCTCGCTTCGGGCTTCGAAAACTATTACTCGATTTGATGCTAAGCTTAGCTTTAACAGTGAATCTCTGAGTGCATGTCTGAACGGGCTCCTATGGTTGATCTTACGCCTGGCCGACGTACCTCACACTTGGATCTTTACTCCCTATGGTACCTGTCAAAATTCAGAATATGAAAAGTTAGGTTATAAAGGTAATTTCCATGTGGTCGTGTCACATTAAATGCGACAACCTTTGTCAGTTGCATTTCGTCGCGTGTGGGTGACGACAGCTGTTCACGCGCGAAGTCTAGGCGATGTGCAGTGACGGTTATCATTATTGCAATCTGATGGTTCGTCGCTCCTCATGGATGGTCGACATGTGGCCACGTCCAATGGTCGAGATTGCTCGATATATGAAGGGTGAGGAAACCACTATAAAAGGTGGCGAAAAACCTTTAAGTCAACGACCATGATTAAACCTCGCCCTTTCGTCTCCCATGCAAACCACTTAAAAAGGTGGCGAAAAACCTCAAAATAGTCACTCTAAAAGTTATTCTAACTCTATTGCTCCTCTCCGCTGTTGCTCTTACGTCTTCCCGATAGGCTTTCGCACGAGTTCTCAGCACTTTTCCCATTATGGTAAGGCTTCTCTCCCTTATTCTCTTTTGTTTTTCTGATTTTTGTGTCCAAAGGTGACTACTATAGTGGTCATATTGGATGTTTTAAGGTTTTAGTAGGGTTTTTTGGGTTCGTCTCTGGCAGTCTCAGGTTGGTCGTGTATTTTCACCGCATTGCATGAGCTATCTCAGGTGCCTAAAATCAAAGCGAGTGTGGAATGGCTACCGATTTGTTCGAGCTCTAACACATGTTCGCTTCTTTTTTCAGGTACCCAGAGTCGAGTTACAACCATGTCGTCGTCTATCAGTCGTACAATAGATCAAATGTTCGATTCGCCATTAGGCTCCACAACCCTTGGGGATTTGTCCCCCGAGGTCTCTAAAGAATTCGTCGCTCGAAGCTCGGACCCCGACGCTGCAAGCTTGTCCAATCGTGCTTCGATTCAGCTAGCCCAATCTTCATCGTCTCTAGCCCATAGGCTAAGAAGAAAACCACAATCCTCGATTACCCTCGGGGATCTTGAACGCATAAGAGCGACCTACACACTGCAACTTAACTTGATGGTTCCAGGGAAATATTCTCGGAAGAACCCCCTACCTGGATGGGTAGCAACCTCCGATACTCTCATTAGGTGCGGGGTATCCATTCCCCTGCATTACTTCATCAATAACGTATTGAGGGGATTTGACATTGTTCCTCTTCAACTGACAACCAAGTCTTACATAATCATTATCGCGATGTACATCGTGTACATAATCACTAAATTGGGCAAGTCATCTGTCGAAGAGTTTGTCCACTTGTAGAGGCTCAAAAAAGGGCAAGATCAGACGTACTACCTTTCCAAAGTAAGGAGAGTACGTCTTAACAGATTAATCGATGTTCCAAAAAAAATTCCACACTAGGATTCACAGTTCTTTTTCTACGAAATTCAGGAGACCGATGTCTTCGCTGCGGAAATGAGTAAGGCTCCGGCTTCCCGTGTACGTGCGATGATTATTCTCGAGTTGTACATTCTAACTGATTGTCCTGTTTTGTTTTTGTAGTTAACGTCGAGCAGAGTTATCTTCCATCCGCGAGCTTACAGAGGCTGCAGCGTTTTAGTGATCTTCCGGACAATCAACACAATGTCAATGAGCTTCTTATGTCTCCTCACCTGAAAGCATACGACTTCTGTCGGGACAAGACCAATTTCTTAGCACTTTTGGAGAGGGGTAAGTTGTTGCTTGCGCGCGCAAAATAGATTGCTAATTCTCTTGCCTTTTTTTCCTTGCAGAAATTATGGCCGAAAAACCAAAAAAAGAAGAAAACGACTGCCCTCGCGACTGTTATAAAGGCTTCTACTACTTCGGGGATGAAGCAGCCCACGAAAACTACCAGCTCGAAGCACGCTAGTGACGAGCTTGGGAGAGGCCCAAGCTCGAAGAAGCCCGCGACTGTCACTAAGGCAATTGGCAAGAAAAGCATTACGGAGCCCCTAAAGAGGCCAGCAAAGAAGGCATCCAAACCAACTGGAGGTTCAAAAAAAAATAAAGCACTCGAGCAGCAAATTGGCTCAGGCAAAGAGGTCGCCACGCAAGCTGATGGCCTTAGGCTTGGCCAAGAAGAAATCTGCTCTTGCTGGCGAGGCAGGTGCTTTTGAGGCGAGCAAACCTGGCTCGTCCCAGCCAAAGAATAAGGAAACAGATGAAGTGGTCTAAGCCACGGTTGATGGGCTGATCGACCAACTTCCTGACCATATTGGTGTTGGGGCCGCAACGGCCAGGGATTTTGTCACCCCGCGAACATTCGCAGCCTTTACGGACTCGTCTCTCTCCCAGATGTTGGCTTTAACCTACAGCTACGTGGCGAAGGTACTTATAGTTCGCGCCCTTTTCTTTTTTTATTTTTTTGTAGGTTATTCTTACTTCTTGCTAATTCTTTGTCTCATCTTTTCAGGTTGCCATGGCGAGCAGACTTTTGTACGAGGATTGCAATGACACTTTAGAGGTGAACCACCGAAAATGTCAGGCTGTGGAGACGGTGAAGGAAGATGCTATGGCTAGGGACGAGCTTGCAGAGAAGGAGAAAGAAGCCAGGCTTGCTGAGCTCGAGTGGCTTAGAGGGGAAGTCGCAACCTTCTAGGTCAAGGAAAGGGAATTCCTTGACAAGCTCAAAGCAAGCAAGGCTGCTCGGGCCAAGGTGGAGGCTAAGGCAGCAGAAGTTGTGGAGACTTTGGCGTAGCAGTGGGGTGCTAAT